GATGTCCATCTGGTCCAGTGTGTCATTTAAGGCCTTTATTTCCTTGTTGATCTTTTGCTTGGATGATCTGTCCATTTCAGTGAGGGGAGTGTTAAAGTCCCCTACTATTATTGTATTATTGTCGATATGTTTCTTTGATTTTGTTATTAATTGGTTTATATAGTTCGCTGCTCCCACGTTAGGGGCATAGATATTTAAAATTGTTAGATCTTCCTGTTGGACAGTTCCTTTGAGTATGATATAGTGTCCTTCCTCATCTCTTATTATAGTCTTTGGCTTAAAATCTAATTGATCTGAGATAAGGATTGCCACTCCTGCTTTCTTCTGATGTCCATTAGCATGGTAAATTCTTTTCCACCCCCTCACTTTAAATCTGGAGGTGTCTTCGGGTTTAAGATGAGTTTCTTGTAGGCAACATATAGACGGGTTTTGTTTTTTTTTTTTGTTTTTGTTTTGTTTTTTTTTTTTTGGTCAGAGAGAGTGAGCACAGGCAGACAGAGAGGCAGGCAGAGGCAGAGGGAGAAGCAGGCTTCCTGCTGAGCAAGGAGCCCGATGTGGGACTCGATCCCAGGACGCTGGGATCATGACCTGAGCCGAAGGCAGCCGCTTAACCAACTGAGCCACTCAGGCGTCCCGGGTTTTGTTTTTTTATCCATTCTGATACCCTGTGTCTTTTGATTGGGGCATTTAGCCCATTAACATTCAGGGTAAGTATTGAGAGATATGAATTTAGTGCCATTGTATTGCCTGTAAGGTGACTGTTATTGTATATTGTCTCTGTTTCTTTCTGATCTACTACTTTTAGGGTCTCTCTTTGCTTAGAGGACCCCTTTCAATATTTCCTGTAGAGCTGGTTTGGTGTTTGCAAATTCTTTCAGTTTTTGTTTGTCCTGGAAGCTTTTAATCTCTCCTTCTATTTTCAATGATAGCCTAGCTGGATATAGTATTCTTGGCTGCATGTTTTTCTCGTTTAGTACTCTGAATATATCATGCCAGCTCTTTCTGGCCTGCCAGGTCTCTGTGGATAAGTCTGCTGCCAATCTAATATTTTTACCATTGTATGTTACAGACTTCTTTTCCCGGGCTGCTTTCAGGATCTTCTCTTTGTCACTAAGACTTGTAAATTTTACTATTAGGTGACGGGGTGTGGACCTATTCTTATTGATTTTGAGGGGGGTTCTCTGAATCTCCTGGATTTTGATGCTTGTTCCCTTTGCCATATTGGGGAAATTCTCTCCAATAATTCTCTCCAATATACCTTCTGCTCCCCTCTCTGTTTCCTCTTCTTCTGGGATCCCAATTATTCTAATGTTGTTTCGTCTTATGGTGTCACTTATCTCTCGAATTCTCCCCTCGTGGTCCAGTAGCTGTTTGTCCCTCTTTTGCTCAGCTTCTTTATTCTCTGTCATTTGGTCTTCTATATCGCTAATTCTTTCTTCTGCCTCATTTATCCTAGCAGTGAGAGCCTCCATTTTTGATTGCACCTCATTAATAGCTTTTTTGATTTCAACTTGGTTAGATTTTAGTTCTTTTATTTCTCCAGAAAGGGCTTTTATCTCTCCCGAGAGGGTTTCTCTAATATCTTCCGTGCCTTTTTCGAGCCCGGCTAGAACCTTGAGAATCGTCATTCTGAACTCTAGATCTGACATATTACCAATGTCTGTATTGATTAGGTCCCTAGCCTTTGGTACTGCCTCTTGTTCTTTTTTTTGTGGTGAATTTTTCCGCCTTGTTATTTTGTCCAGATAAGAGTATATGAAGGAGCAAGTAAAATACTAAAAAGGTGGCAACAACCCCAGGAAAATATGCTTTAGCCAAATCAGAAGAGATCCCAAATCGTGAGGGGGGAGAAAGGGGATAAAAAGAGGTTCAGAAAGAAAAAAAAAAAAAAGAAAAGAAAAAAGAAAGAATTAAAAAAAGAAAACCAATAAAGAAAAAATATAAAAAGGAAAAAATATATGTATATATTAGATAAACTAATTAAAAAACGTTAAAAATGAAAAGGGTAAAAGTTAAAAAAAATTTAGCAGAAGAAGAAAAAAAAATTGAAAAAGAAAAAAAATTAAAAATTAAATTAACTGCAAGGCTAAAGAATCATGGGGAGAAAGCCATGAGTTCCATGCTTTGCTTTCTCCTCCTCTGGAATTCCGCTGCTCTCCTTGGTATTGAAACTGCACTCCTTGGTAGGTGAACTTGGTCCTGGCTGGGTTTCTTGTTGATCTTCTGGGGGAGGGGCCTGTTGTAGTGATTCTGAAGTGTTTTTGCCCCAGGCGGAGTTGTACCGCCCTTACCCAGGGTGGTCTGAGTAATCCGCTCGGGTTTGCTTTCGGGAGCTTTTGTTCCCTGAGCGCTTTCCGTAGAGTTCCAGAGGGCGGGAATGAAGATGGCGGCCTCCCGGTCTCCGGCCCGGAGGAGCCGAGAGCCCGGGGCCCCACTCCTCAGTGCGCCCTCAGAGAACAGCACCCAATTACTCCCGTCACCCTGGCCTCCGGCCGTGCTCCGAGCTGACCGAGCCTGCGACCGGTTCAAGGTAACCCCGAGCTTAGAGCTCACTCCTCGGCTCTGTCTCTGTAGCCGGCTTCCCCGTTCTAATACCTGTAAGCTCTGCGACACCAGACGCCCCCGATCCTTCTGTGACCCTGCGGGACCTGAGGCCACGCTGACCCCGCCTGGGCTTCACCCCGGTTAAGCCTCTGGAGCGATGTCCCTCAGCGGAACAGACTTTTAAAAGTCCTGATTTTGTGCTCTGCTGCTCCGCCGCTTGCCGGGAGCCGGCCCCTCCCCCCGTGGTCTATCTTCCCGTCGCTTTGGATTCACTTCTCCGCCAGTCCTACCTTTCAGAAAGTGGTTGATTTTCTGTTTCTAGAGTTGCTGTTCTTCTCTTCGCTCTCCCGTTGGATCTGTAGGTGTCTGCAATCTTTAGATAGGCTATCTAGCTGATCTCCCGCTACCTGACGTAGTCTCAGCCTGCTACTTCTCCGCCATCTTGACTCCTCCCCTATATTTTATCATTTTTTTATGAGAAGTCTGCTATATGCTTTTATTTCTCTCTAAATATGTCCTTCATTTCCTCCTCTGCCTACCTTTACAGTTTCTTTTCCCTTATCAGTTTTTGGGTGTTTTTCACCAGTTTGGATGTAATAATCCTTAATGTGGTGTATGTATATGTACTCTTTCTTATACTTATCCTTCCTGGTATCCATGAATATTCTTGGATTTGTTGAGTGTAATTATCATCAAATTTTTAAGACATTTTACTTTCATTTCCTCAGATTTTTTTTCTCCCATCTTTTTAAGACCCCAATCATGCATATACAATATTACTTGTCTAACAGTGTCTTATAGGTCATTTGGATAGATTCTATTCCTACATCTTCAAATTCTCTGATCTGTACATGATCTATACTATCTAATCTTATGTTAAGTAAGTGCAGTGAAATTTTCATTTAATTATTACAGTTTTTCAGCTTTAGAACTTCCTTTTTTGTGTCTTACAGTTATGTTTTTGTTATGTTCATGTTTTCTTGACATTATTTAAATATACATCTGCATTTTTGTTTTATATGATTTAATGCCCTTGTTGATTCATTCTATCATCGCTTTCATTTCTGAGTTTGTCTTTATTGAATAATTACTTCTGGTTCTGGTTACATTTTCCTTCTTCTTTGCATGTCTGGTGAATTTGGTGGACATATGGTTTTAGGATAGCTGCTATATTTTGTTGTATTCCTTTAAAGAATTTTGGACTTCTTTAGCAAGCAGTTAAGTTACTTAAAGTTAGGTTGATCCTTCGAAGGATATTTTTAAGTTCTTTAATGTCATTCTAGTTCTAAATTATCCCCATTTTAGGGCATGGCCCCCTGGATTCTCTGAAGAATGCCTTTGTAATTACTGAAGTCTCTCTGTTCTTGCTGGATGGAACTTGAAAGATTCATAGTCCTGTGTGGGCTCTGTACATTGTCTTAGAACTTTCTGGTGATTTTTCTTTTCTTGGAAGTTGTTCTTCGCAAGCTTTATAGGGTTTTACTCTGCACATATACTAATTGATATTTAGCTATATACTCAAAGGACCTCTGCATATTTCTCTGGAACTCTTTTTTTCCCCCATAGCTCCATTCTTTGTGAGACACTAGCCCACAAATTCTAGCTAACCTGACCTCTCTTTAATCCATTCTCTTTCTACTCAAATCAACATGATAGCTGGGTACATTTTAGGTTCCCCCTCTCTGTGACACAGTCTAGTATTCACCTGCAAAAAGGAAGCCTGGGTAATGGAAGAGCTAATTTCATCTGTATACATTTTCTTATACTGTGCTCCCAGTTCCCCACTGGGCTGAAAAGAATTATTTCCCTTATTTTGTCCAGTTTTCTAGTTGTTTATGGGCAGGAGGCCAAGTCTCAGCTTTGTTACACCCTCATGGCTATTACAGAGTTCTCTTCACAGGTACTTTAATGAGAAAGGAAGAGAGATTTTCATAAAACCAGAGATACTTAAAGGCAAATAACAGATAAGAGAACTAGGAACTTTTCTAATGATACCATCTGATATGAAGGGTCTAGGGCCAGAAATACTCAAGGAAGGTACCTACCTGGGAAATGGGTCAGAACAGGAGATTGTGTGGATGCCAGCTTAGTATGGTTTTGGACCTCAGAGCTTTGCCCCATCCCTACACCTACTTGCCTTACTCTCAGGTTATTACTGTACCTACTGTCTTCTTGATGCCAGAAAGCCCCTAGATAGGGAAGCTACTTTTTTATCATCACTAATATGATTATTATATATCACTAAAAACTGATTTCTAGAGCATAAAATACTGAAATCAAACTATAAGTGACTAGTAATTAGTCCTTTGCTGAGATTTGGGAGGGAGTAAGGAACCCTAGTAAGTCTTGTGACATTGATGGGCTTTCTGAGAACCAACGTGGCTGAATTCAGCCTTTTTCCCTCTTCTTTTCCCCTTCTGCCTGCAGTTTAGATCATGTACCTTTTCTTATGCATGACTATGACCTGAGAAGAACAACCAATATTAAGGAGGTCATGCCAAATGCCTCCTTAACACATCCTAGCTTCTTCCAGTGGCGTTTCCTGTCGACTCTGAATGCAGGCAAATGGTTTGTACAGTCACCGGTAAGACATTTCCCAACTCAACAAACCTGCATTGAATCTCTCTTCTGTATGAAGTCATGTGCTGCTCCTAGCAAACACACAATTTCATCCCAGTTTGGTAGCAGAACTGTAGCATTGATAGGAGGGCTTTTTCAGGAATGCAGTCTAATTGCTGCTTTCTACATTGACTGGAAATTCTGAAGATAAACTCATAAACTTTTGTCATTTAATTCCTTTTTATCAAAGCATTATGTAAACTTTTATTGTAACTTCCATGTACACAGCATTTTCCTAGGCATTTTGAGTAGCTTACAGTCATAGATGAGGCAGACTGGGGACATATTTATTCTAACCTCCTCTTATCATTCATTAGATATTTATTGAGTACATTTTAGGTTCTTGGCACATGGAATATATTGGTGAATAAACACACACTAAGCTCTGATGGAGTTCACAGGCTAGAAGAGACAAAATACAGTGTGATAAGTGCTGAACTGAACTTAATTTTAGATGGCTTAGGAGCACACAAGTCTAACTCAGTCTGGGGGATGGAGATGGGGGATTCTGGGAAAAGGAGATAAATAGGCCAATGTGGTAAAATATAAAACATTGCTGTGTACAGTTTAATTTAGAGGCAAGAGTGAATGGTTGTACTTGAGAGGGCTGAAGAGTACTTCATGCAAAGGTATAATTTGAGCTGAAAGAAGATCATTACTAATGGGAACCATAGGCAATGATGGCGGCATGTTTCAAAGATTACAGTATACTGGAGCAAGAGTGGATATGGTGTACATGCATGCATATGTGAAAGAGGAAGAGAAGAATGGAGGGAAGGAAAGAGAGAAAGGTCAGTAAGGAGGAGATGAGAGATAGATTTGAAGAAGAACCTGTGAAAACATGTTTAGAGGAGAATATAGCAATGCTTAAATAACAAGTTAGAGAGTTTAGAATTATCCCGAGTATTTTAAAGTGGCTAAAATAAAAGGTCACATTTGCATTTGATAAAAGTTAAATCTGCCTTTCCAAGATAGATTAAAGACAACAAAACTACTTAGTTTCCAAATTATCATATCCCTAGGGGGAGTCTATGTGACCTGGGTTATACCAATCAGATACAATCACTTGAGACTTCAGTTTTGAATATAGACATCTGAACATGACAGGACAGCAAGCATTCATACTGCTAGCACCTGTAGCTTCAGAGACAGTGTGGTGTGGATATCAGCTGTAGTAATAGCTCTCTTATCAGGTAATTATAATTAGGAGAGTAAGTCTTACATTATTTTTAATTGTGTACTTGGGGATGAATGGAATTTTATTTAAATTTAATATTAGCCCTGAGAGCTTATTTGAATCTGTTTCATGTAAAAATATTGTTAAGTAAAGCATTATGTTAAAATGGACTTCTCTACTTCAATTTCATTCTGTTAACTAGTGTTAATATAAGAACTAGCTGGCAGTGGATTTGTGATTACTGTATTTTCTTAGAAAATGTGTTTTTTTAAAAAAGATTTAATTTATTTATTTGACAGGGAGAGAGGGAGTATAAGCTGGGGGAGTGGGAGAGAGAGAAGCAGGCTTCCCACTGAGCAGGGAGCCTGATGTGGGGCTCGATCCCAGGACCCTGGGAGCATGACTTGAGCCAAAGGCAGACACTTAACTGACTCAGCCACCCAGGCACCCCAGAAAGCTTGTTCTTATAGGAGTATATAGCCTCTAAATACTGTTTTTTTGTGCACGTAAGCTCTGTATATGTCTCATCATACATAAATAAATAGACACATACAAACCAGAGATGCTCCATTAGAATGTGTATATTGGGTTAGTCAGCCATAGTTAATGTTATGGCGAATGTGCCTTCCAGATGGAAAGGCTGATTTTGTGTCTTATGTATAATGTATAACTCATAAAATCTTACTGTAAGTGATAGGGTTAGATATGTTATTGTAATAAATTTTAGCGGATTTTTTAAGGATTAAAAGTTTTATTTTAGCATATTTAGGTGGCATGCTTGCAGTATTTCATTAATACTATTACTGTGGCTACTGTGGAGTATCCCAAAACTCGAAGTTCCAAATATGGTTACCTAGGGGGCTCTATTTTTAGGTTTAATTGTGGAGTTTTCTTTGCTTGCATGCTGTACAGTCAGGGGTGGCTGAAGTGGTGTTGGCAAGTGATTTAAAGATTTAGATGTGTGGATACTTTTTTGTAGCAAAGACATTGTTTTTGTTAGGATTATTCTGGTCATTCTTCATTGGGTGTGTATGATTATGGATCGATGATGGTGGTGAGTTGACCATTTGTTAGTATATTTATTCCTGAAATTATTGGTAAAAATTAAATTGTTAATCTGATTGATAATGAAATAAAAATAGAGCAGTTCTGGTAGTTGTTCCTGGAAGTTCAGCTAAGTTCCTATTTCTCCAGCAAAAACATTTCTGTAGAGCTTTCTTAAATCTTTTTGTGAAAGTATAATTCTCAAAACAATAAAAATCTAATTCTCATGCAGGGACACCTGGGTAGGTCAGTCAGTTAAGCATCCATCTTTGGCTCAGGTCATGATCTCAGCGTCTTGGCATCAAGCCCTGCATCAGGTTCCCTGCTCAATGGAGAATCTGCTTCTACCTCTCCCTCTGCTCCTTCCCCACACTTGTGCATGCTCTCTCTCTCTCTCTCAAATAAATAAAGAATATCTTTAAAAACAATGTAATTCTCCTGCAACTAGATAGCAAGCATGAGTAAAGTTTTATTTAGCACATTAATGAGAGAACAAATCAGGATGACAAAACCCACTAAAAAGAAAAGTGAGAAACTAACATGTGTATAGTGAGTGCAACAAAGAAATGCTGAAATTAGCTGACTAGATTAGATACAAACTTAGTTAGTATACTATACTATATACACACATGCATATATATGATTATATAACACTATATGACAATAAACTCTATCTTTGTAGTTATCTTCTCTATCAGAAAATATTATCTGCATCTCTCCTGGGCAGAAATCATTTCCGTTTTTATCAGTTTTCTACAACTTAACATCTAACTTTGCATAGTTTTGCCCTAATTGATAACTAAATGGTAATTCAAACAAAGGTACCTTCCCCAAAGGGTCAGATGACACTTACACAAGTTTGTTAAAGAATGTGCTACCATATGATACTATATGGTCCAACAATCAACTTTTTGCCTTATTTCTAAGTTTGAATAGTTTAACAGTCTCCTCTTATAATCATAATTAACTTCTATAGATTATTTAGAGATTCATCTTAGTGAGGTGTTGTGTTATTTGCTTTTATTAATTTCCATAGGTTCAGTAAGAAGGATCAATTAATACACATAATGTTCCTTGTTGTATAATCAGCAAATCTAGAACCAGATTGTGTTAAACAACTTTAGCAAATTAGATTCTTTTTTTTTTTTAAAGATTTATCTGACAAAGAGAGAGAGAGAGTGCACAAGCAGAAGGAGTGGGAAAGGGAGAAGCAGGCTCCCAGTCGAGCAGGGAGCCTGATATAGGCCTTGATCCCAGGACCCTGGGATCATGACCTGAGCCAAAGGCAGATGCTTAAACAACTGAGCCACCCAGGTGCCCCTCAAATTATATTCTATCTGGAGATTATGTATAGAATCAAAAATTTCAATTTTAATAGTCCCTGTCATTCCAAAGCTCTTTTTATCACGATTATTTACAAAATAAGAAATTCATCTCTACCAGGTTTCACCTGTGTACCTACAAACATGGGCAAATTTGTCTTTTTTCCTGCTAGGCATTGATCTTTCTTCCTGCCTGTGATGCTGGGACCGTGTACAACAACAGATACCAGTTTGCTAAGGAAGACTTATAAGCATGGGTTTTCAAATATCAGTTATATCTGTGTCCTTAATGGAGACTGGGTATGTTAGGTCCATAATCAAAGGAGCGAGACTGATACAAAGCAAAGGTCAAGCAAAGCTTTATTTCGTGCCAAGCATCGAGAATCAAACCGACCGTTCGGGGCCGCCTCTTACAGAGAGAGGGACCCCTCCCTGCCTTACAGACTAACTTTTATAGAGCAAAGGCCATGTGGTTGAGCCTGGCCACACGCAGGTGGCCAGTGAGATTGTAACACACAGAGAAAGCTGCACAGTCATGCTAGGTCACACACGAGTGGCCAGTTGAATTACAATTCACCCCATAGTAGCTATTTGAACTAGCCTATCACCTTGGTCAGAATTGGCACCCAAAAGGCGGGGCCCACACTTCTTGGTAGCTAGGGAGACAGTATGCATGCCCCACTGATTGGATGTCTCCTCCTGGCCCGACTCATCCTTGCATTGGGGCTCTGTTATCTCTACCTGACCTGACCCATCCTTTGGGCTCTGTTATCTGGGACTGGCCGACCATATTTTACTGGTTTCCTGGACTTGCTTTTAAGTAGGTTCCCCTGGGGGTGGGGGCAGGGTCAGTTTAAGTTTTACTGCATAAACAACAAAATCACTGTTTAACTGGATGGAATTGCTCTGGCTAAATAGGCCCTTACAGGTACTTGTCATATCTGACCGAATGGAATGTATTGTCAAATATAATCCTTCATATTTGGCCTTGATTACACAATTTGTTAAATTATATCCCAGTAAAAAGGAGGACAGATTTTTATTCAACATACGCAAATGACTGCATTGCCATGAAAAGTAGAGACTCGGTTAAAAATATTTCTACCTTAGTTCTGTGGGGTTATTGAGAACAAGATACTACATACAAAGAATGTTTTGCACATGCATAACAGAGAAAAAGTCAAAAGAATAGGTTTTAAAATAGCAGTAAGTACATACCTATCAATAATTATTTTAAATGTAAATGGGCTAAATGCTGCAATCAAAAGACATAGGGTGATAGAATGAATAAAAAGGCAAGACCCATCTATATGCTGCCTACAAGAGACTCATTTCAGACCTAAAGACACATGCAGATTGAAAGTGAGGAGGTAGAGAAACATTTATCATGCAAATGGCGTGAAAAGAAAGCTGGTTTAACAG